TTTTCTTTTAATAAATATTTATTATTTTTATTTTATGTGTATGAATGTATTGCCTGCATGTGTTTAAGTGCACCTGCGTCATGCAATACCTTCAGAGGCCAGAAGAGGGTGCTGGATTCCCTGGAAGTGGAGTTGAAAATGGTTCTTAGCTGCTGTGTGGGTGCTGGGAATCGAACTCTGGTCCTCTGCAAGAGCAGCAAGTGCTCTTAACCACTGAGCCATCTCTCCAGCCCTGGTTTATTCATTTTCTAACTTTTGGCTGCCTTGTCTCCTTGAATCAGGATCTGAGCCAGGCACACTATGAGGACTGGTGATCTTTCTTGCCCAGTGGTTGAACTGGTGTGTCTCTGTCTTTTTTAAATTAAGTATGATTGATCTAGAGCTCCTCCCAAGTCCCCCTTGTCCTTACATTGTCCACTGTAAGCTGTGTGGTTTGTCTGCTGGTGTCCAACTCTATGCAGGTCACTTGCACTCTAAGCAGCAACAACAGGCCAGAGCTGGAGACTTCTGAGCATCTCCAGGAGGCTGAGTTTTGGGAAGCGCTATGGTGGATTCTGCAGTTGGTACCCAAGGATGTTCATTGTCCCCGACCGCTTTCCGTCTCGCCGGCAAGAACGACGCTTCTGCAGTTGGTACCCAAGGATGTTCATATCTTCCTGTCGTTTTTGTCCTGGAAAAGAATTTTAAAGGTAGCTGGATCCAGAGGCTTATGGGCCTCAGGAGGTCTTTCTGGGTTTGCAGGATGCTGTGTTCCTCTGGCAGGAGACACAGATGTTGGGGTTGTTGGCATCTGCGGAGCTGATGTCAGGTTCTGTATCTGTCAGGGGCTGCACAGTATTTGCTCATCTGTTAACTAGATGCCAATGGGCACAGGCTCCATGTTCACTACTCAGTTTCCAGGGGTTTATGAAGGAAATGCAGGTCTTGATCAGTTTTTACAACTGACTCCCCAGCATCTGCAGTGACGCTCTTGCAGTATACTGAATTATGAATTCAAATCTGGTTGGTGGTTTGAAGGAGTTGTTTGACTGCCTTTATTTGACTTGCTGGTGCCCCATTGTTCTGGCCAGTGGAAACCTCAGACAGCAGTGTTGGATCTCTGGACCCTTCCTCCACCTTTGCAGTAGGCTCTGTGTGGTCTCTGCCCTGGACCAGAGTGGATCATGTCTTGGCTGAGTTCTGATGTTAGAGATTATTGGCACTGGCTGTGATTGTCATCTGGCTTTTTCAGTGGGCCATGGTGGGAGGTGTTCTTAGGAGGTAGAACCTCTCGTGATTGTACATAGATTCTTTCTGCTGAGCCCCTTGTGATGTGACCATCTGAACCTCAAACTTGGCTCTGCTCTCCTGCCACTTGACCATTTCTCAGTATCCCCAAATATAATGGGATGTGTGCCCATGTGGCTCACAAAAGGATGCTGGCAGCCTGGTTGCTAGAACAGAGAATGACTTGGGGATTGTATGCTCTAGGTTGGATGATCTCAGGCCACATCCTGCAGAGATATAAGCCTCAGAATCACAGGGATTGGTGCCTCTTCCTAGAGGCTCTACCAGCTGGATACTTAGTTATATCCATTTGAGTAATTTTGTTCCTAATGTACTTTTGCTTTGTAAATCTTAAATTTTTATTTAATAATGTAGTTTTCTTTGTAAATTTTTCTTAGGAGTTGTTTAACAATTGAACTTGTGACTTAGAGTTGGACAGTTGAATTTATCTGACACTTGCCCCAACTCTTAGTGCTCAGGTTGGCTTTTCTAGGGCAGATAGGTAGTATTTATCTCATGGGTAAGGTTTTCTTTCAGTGTGTTGAAAATGTTCTAAATTTTCAACATGGTTATGGTGGTTGCCCATCTGTGAGTGTGTGAGAGCCTGAGTTGTATACCTTACAGCATAAATTTTTATCCTGTGTTATGTGGGAGAATTGCCTCCCACCCTGGGGCCTTTGTAAGGAGTTTGTTGATTTTTCAGGTTGTCATGGTAGGAATTCCTGCATCGGGCTTGCAGCCCACCTCAGCTCTAATTTGGCTGGCTTTGGTTTTGTCTCCTGAGCCACCATCACCATTTATCCCAGCTACACAGCTATTGTCCCTGTCCTCCTGTGCATATGCCAACCATGGCAATACTGTTGCAGACCTTCCTTCCCGAGCCTTTGGAAGAAGGGCACGCCATGGACATTTGACCACTTTTGAAGAACTCATCCCAGCCCACATGTTCTATTTTGGCCTCTATGTCTACTCCTCAAATTACCCTAAAACTGAAGTCTGGAAAGGAGAATCTGGGCAGAGCTTAGCAGAGACAGCTGGTCTCTGCTGTCCTTTGTGTCTGCTGGGGAGGCCCCTGGGCCTACAGGCTTGTAGGTGGGACTTGCTGGCTTTCCAGTTCCTCCTCTTTCACTTGCTGGCAGAGCCTTTAGCAGTGCTCCCTGGCACACCCCCATGTGACCTTCCTGAGTGGCCAGCCTTCCTCACAGCATGGCAGCCAGTTCCCAGGGCAAACATCCCTGTAGAACATTGGTGAAGCTATGTCTTTCTTGCAGTCTGGCTTTGGAGGTCTTATAACATCACTTCTAGGAATTGGAAAGGAACACACACACACACACACACACACACACACACACATACACACACACACGAGGAGGACACAGTCACAATTCCTGATGAGAAGCATGGCATCAGTGCTGGGGCTATATGCAGTTCCCCAGTTCTGGGGGAGATGTGTGGTTAGAAATGTCTCCTGCTCTTCTCAACTTGGGACTCCCCTCTTGTCTGTTCTAAATGCAGCTGTTCTCAACTCTAGGCCTGTCTGGCTTTGTAGGCAGGGGCTTCAGGTGTCCAAAGGAGTTATGTGTCCAGCACATCTCTGTCCTGGGCCTCGCCTTCTGATCCACCTCCTGGACCTTTGTTCTCTCCTTTGTGCCTAAATGTTGCTTGCTCTCTCCTTCCCCCCACATGTGGGCCTTGAACTTAAGAAGAGGCACCCAGTAAAATTGGCCTGAATCATGGTGCTAGGAAGGAGCAGAGTGCCAGGAGGCTATACTTTGTATGGCACCAGTGGTCTGCACAGCACAGACTTGGTAACAGGTCACCACTTCCCCTTCACAGCATCTCACAGGGCAGAAATTGTCTACTGTTACCTTTCACCTGTTTCTTTGAAGAATTTCCACTTTAAGGTAAAGTCCACAGTATGCAAGTAGGGACATAGCCTGTGATCTGACCCCCATTTCAGCGATTTGTACTCCAGAAAGCAGGATCTCTGCCAGGTGCCCTGAGGTGCCCTGGCATGCAGTGCTTTTGGCTGCTGACCCTGTGCAGTGCTAGCGGGGATATCTTGGCAGTTCCACATGAGCTGTCTGTCCAGGCGGGCTGAGTGTCCTTGTCATCTGTCTGCACCATGCTTGTCACGTTCACGTGAAATTAGCTGGCCTTAACAGTGGACCTGTTGCTGCACGCATTCTGAAACAGTTATGCCAAGCAGCCTGTGGGAGCATTTCAGCCCTGGGTTACCTGTGCCCAACCCCAGCCTTCCTGAGCTGGAGACAGGAATTGGGGGCTGTCATACTGCTCTCTGACACCACAGCAAGTGCTGTGGTGGGTGTTTAATGTCCCTTGATCTCAGAAATGAAGTGAAAATGTTCTGGTTTAGATTTTGAACAGGCCTTCCCCCTTGTAATCCTGACACTGTCTTGGGATATTGGAAGAGCATAGATTGGAGAAGAATACTTCAGAAAGTGGGTTTTGAATGCACAGAAATGAGAATCTTATTTTCTGTTCCGGTGTTGTTTTTTAAAGGAAATGCAGCAGTGCCAGGGAACACGCTTCCCAGTGTTAAAACCAGTCTGTTTTTGTCTCCTCCTTTCTCTTCTGTTTCTTTTTCTTTCTTTTTAAATGTAGCCACAGACAGTAAGGATGAAGAACTCAGAGTCCCCCCCAGGCGGCCCTACCTGGGTATGTACCCACTGCACGGAGAATCTCGCTCTATCACCCCCGTGGCCCATCCCTCTGCAGCACTGTCATCTGCGCTTGCCTCCGACTGCATGAGTTGCTTCATCAAGCACGGCCTGTCCACACTCACCCACAGCTCTGCTGCTCTCAACAGGAACTTAGAACCTGCTGTTTCAAGGGTGGGGTGGTGAGGAGGAAGGAAGCAGGGATGGGGAAAATTCCAGATTACAAGCTTTAAGTTTATCCCAAACTAATTCTTTTTGATGATGTGTAAAAAGAATTATGATTTTTTTTTTTTGAGACAGCATCTCCCTGTAGCCCCAGCTGTCCTGGAACTCACTATGTAGACCAGGCTGGCCTTGAACTCACAGAGATCCACCTGCCTCTGCCTCCCAAGTGCTGGGACTACAGGCACGTGCCACCGTGCCCAGCCAGAATTATGATCTTAATTACTTTTTGAATTGTTCATTTCTACCCTGTGGAAGTAACACTGGTTTTTATCCAGTGATCTTGTATCCTGGAACCTTGCTAAACTCTAGCGACTTTGGTTACTGCTCTCTAGACTTCTTAGGATTGTACACCTAGAGGCGCACATCATCTGTGAACAGGGGCAGTTTGTTTCTTTCCCATCCACCCTAACCACCCTGGCTAGACACGGGTAAGAGAGGACATGCGTGTCCTACTTTTGGTTCCAGTGAGGACTTGTGTTTTCCTCATTAACTGTAGTGTCACTCTCGTGGTTTTCAGTTTCCCTTTAACAGCTGAAGGGAACTCCTTGCTATTCTGAGCTGACAGCGTTTTCATCCTACTATCATGAGATGGCACTGGCTAGGCACTTCTCTGTGTCTTCAGGGGTGATTATGATTATGTTATTTTGTCTTTTATGGTGCTTTATGGTGATTGACTTTTGTGTGTCAAACCAGTCTTCTATTTTTGAGCTAAGTTCTGTTTGATTGTGGTGGGTGGTATCTTGTTAGTTGCTGGATGCTGTTTATTAATATTATGTTGGGGAATTTTCACATCCATCTGTAGTTTTCTTGTCATGACTTTGGTTTTAGTATATTCTAATTATACAACTGATATCCTGATACTGGTTTATGAAATAAGTCGGTAACTTTTTAAGTATTTGTGAAGGGTTCATGTCAATGGGTTCATGTCAATTCCTTTTTTTTTTAAACTTTAAAAATAATTTTTATTATTTTTATTTTATGTGTATGCGTGTATTGCCTGCATGTAGGTAAGTGTACCCATCTGACTAGCCTGGTTAACACTGGATGTGTCTGGACCTGTATCTGCTGTGCGTTGTTTTCTGTCTGCCTTGTTGCTTTATAGTTTTCTTTTGTATTGAGTGAATATTTAATTTTTTTACTTTAGTTTTGTTTTTTTGAGACAAGGTCTTATTGTGTAACTCTGGCTGGCCTAGGACTTGCTATATAGACCAAGCTGGCCTCAAATCACAGGTAACCCCCTGCCTCAGCCTCTGGAGCACTGGGATTAAAAGCATGCGCCACCAACACCCAGCTCTTAAGTGAATATTTTATAGTGTGAGGTTTTTATTTCTTTAGTGATTTTTAAAAGAAATTTATTTTAAGTGTACAAGTGTTTTGCCTGCATGTATGAAGGTGCACCACATGCATGCAATGCCTGTGGAGGTCAGAAGAGGGTATCGGATCCCTTGGAACTGAATTTGCTGAGT